CCTTGAGTTTCTCTGCCTGGAGCCTTATCCACGCACCCAGCCCGATCTCTAAAACCCCCAGTCCATTGCCACTGGTCCCAGTGCAGGCAGCCCACGCAAATCGGGTGTACACGCGTGTATTTCTACTCTTCCCGTGTACACGCGGAGGCCCTCAGCGTCGCGTCTGAACCAGAGCCTTGGTCCCACTCAGGACACCTGGGACACCGATCCACGGCCTTCTGCTCTGCTAACCTTCTGTCGGAGGTGGGAGATCGCAGTCAGCGTCACACGCTTCAAAAATGACGCGCTTTCATCCCACTTTCAGAAAAGTGTGTGAAGTGGGCACACGCCCAGGCCAAGACACAAGAAAGTCTAATCCTCCTTGCCAATAGTCCAGACTAGATCCCAATGGCAAGAAGCACCAGAATGGGAGGCACTGAGGGACTTTGCAGACTGCCAGAAATAGTGCACATTAAATTGAGGCACTGCCCTGGCTCAGTGCTAGGGAATCATGGGAACTGTAGTTTATTGTGGCACCAGAGCTCTCTGACAGAGAATGTCTCAGAAAAAAACTACAATTCACTATGCAAAATGTGAAAAAAAATGTACTTACTTTCAAAGAACTATTGAACTATTGAGAAGTTTGAACTATGGGCAAATGTCTCTCTCTATATATATAGGCCCTTAGTTTCAAAGGTACTAAAAGACCCCTTTGCATACTGATTTTCCAGATTTAACGTGGCCAGGCCTATGAATCCTGCCACCCCAGTCTAGTTTGTGGTTTGAGTGTTGGACTGGGATTCTGGGAGACCAGGGTTCGAATCCCTGCTCAGCTGAGGAAACCCATTGGGTGACCTTGGGCAAGTCACACACTCTCAGCCTCAGAGGACGGCAAGCGGAGGCGGGGGGGGGGGGAAGCTCCTGCAGAACAAACCGTGACAAAACAATCTTGTGAGAGGGTCGCCTTCAGTCCAAGTCGAGAACCGGCTTGAACGTTGGACTAGGACTCTGGAGACCAGAGTTCGAATCCCTGCTCGGCCATGGAGACCCGCTGGGTGGCCTCGGGCAAGTCACACTCTCTCCGCCTCAGAGGAAGGCTCTGCGGCTGAAGAAATCTTGCCAAGAAAACTCCGCGATAGGGTCACCTTAGGGTCACCATAAGTTGGGAAGGACTCGCGGAAGGCACACAACCACACAACCCACCATCCCCAAATCAACAGGTAGGTAGATCCCACCCTTGGGAGTGGTCCTGGCTTGGTTTGTCATTGCCAGAGGAGTGAGTTCCCCTGCTCCTTCCCATCTTCTTTCCTCCCAGAAGGTCTCCCCACTAAAAAGACTAAAAAGACAAGATACAAAAGGGGAAGGGAATGGTGGTGGGGAAGGGGATCAAGTCCATCAGATCTTCTCTCCCTCTGAAGCCTGGACCAAGGCAGATGGACTCTATGATTCTATGACTGGAGGAATTTTAGGATTCTGCTTTTGTCACTGTATCCCTCATTTTTGTTTGACACCCTTGGTTGTTGTTTCTGGAACAACAGCTCTAGTTGTATGTATGTTTACTTGTGGTCAGTCCCATCAGTTGCAATGGAATATATTTCAGACACATAGGGCCTTTGCAGACTGCCAGAAATAGTGCACATTAAATTGAGGCACTGCCCTGGCTCATTGCTAGGGAGTCATGGGAATTGTATTTTTTTTTTCTGAGACATTGAGCCTTCTCTGTCAGAGAGCTCTGGTGCCACAATAAACTACAGTTCCCATGATTCCCTAGCACTGAGCCAGGGCAGTGCCTCAATTTAATGTGCACTATTTCTGGCAGTCTGCTTAGGCCCTATGTCAGGGAAAGGACAAAGAAAAGAGTTGAGAACTATAGTCAGAGACCACAATGGGGCAATACCATCATGGAATCTACCCAGAATTCCCATCCCTAAAGTCCTCCACAAAAGGAGAGAGAGAGAGAAATCCTCAGCTTCTTGGAGTCCCAAGGATCATCCCCTCCAGTTCTGCTTATAGGGTATATGGAAAAAAAGTCACAAAATATCATACTATACTGCTATAGCGCTATTATGCCACTTTAACTGACACGGCAACCTCCTGTGGAATCTTGGGATCTGTAGTTTAGGGAGGGGCGCTTAGCTTTCTCACTCTGGCTCTAAACTACAAAGCCCCAGATATCCCCCAGGAGGCAGCCATACCAGTTCAAGTGGAATAACAGCGCTATAGCCGTGTGATCTTCTGGTTTGATCGATCTCTTTCCCTTTAAGCAGGATCCGAGGAGAGGATGTTTTGGGACTCCAGCTCCAAGGTTCAAAACACACTG